AAGTCCAGCAAATTTCTTGAAATATGATGGGCCTTTGTAGGATTTATCAAATTTTTTGTTTTTTTTTTTTTTTTGGTGGGGGGGGGGGGGGGGGGGGGTCAGGGGGGTCCTGACCCCTCCCCTTCGGTTTCTGGAAAAAATCACACTAATATTCCCCTTTTAAAATTAGACATTTGACTTGCTGAATCATAGTTCTAAACCATACCAAATGGCACTGTTTGTCCTCCAAAACACCAAAATATTTCGGCCCTTAAGTGGGCCCGAAGGCCTTGCTAAGGGGGGCAAGGGCAGTTTCATCTCCTATTTAACAATCCAGACGCCCCCCCCCCCTTCAAATAATCCTGGGTCCCCCCCTGAATATGACAAGACATTGTATATGAATATGTGTCTGAATTTAAGCAGTTTTGAATAAAAAAAAAAAATATATAAGAAACAGTTATGTGCAGAATTAGTATCAGAGGGAAGAAGTCCTTATCAAAAATAAAATTTAAAATAATGTCAGTTTCTGATGGCAAAAAGGAAGCCACTATTTAAAGGTCTTAGTCAAGACCAGATGCTACACTGGTATATCTTTGTAGCATCCCACCTAAAAAGCCATTGTCTGTCTAAAACATAAGCCATTTTTTATCTGTGAAACAGGTGCAGAACTTGTCTTTATTGAAGTACATGCAAACTATTACCAAATTATCTAAAGCCTGCAAGAACATTTATGGTCTTCAAGCCATTAAAGTAAGGACCAACTTTTGACTTCTTAAGTTATTTTGTGAAACTAGCTAAAAATACATGAAGTCATCAGAGATATCAGTAAAGTTGACAGGAGTTGGAATTCTTTTTTTTTTTCACAATCATATTGTACATCCATTACATGACTGTTAGAAAGGGGATTGTGAAATTAGAAAGGTGGCTACCATTGTGGCTCAGTGGACAAAGTTCTGCTCTGGATCAAAGTTTGATCTAGGTCTCAGGTTTAGAAATAAAATCTTATGTTCTACTATATATAAGAACACCTCCCTCTTTTAAAATTGCTTGCTACAGGCCTGCATCAAAAGGTTACAATGATAATTAATGTTAGGATCTTAGCTCTTCACTGCAGCAACAATACATGTGAATAGATATATACGTATATCATAAATATGTGGCGGGGGTTTGTGCATATTGCGTCTGAACACATGGTTGAAATGCCAACTTAAAATGTCAATCATGATCAGTATTTTTAAACTTCTGTAGAATCAGTGTAGAATTATACCGCAAATGCATGTGCCTACTCTAGCTGAGTTCTATAGATACGTATATTTAGTTTTTGTCTTGGGGGCATGTGTGATGCCCAATTTGATGATTAACAATAATGAAAAGTGGCAAATTTTGAGTTTGTTCATCAAAATTATGCCTTGTTTATCATCTTAACTCACACATTTGTGTTTTAAACTTCAAATTTATATAATTATTGTGGTGTCTATTTTGATAATAATTTAAAATACATCTGAGTTAGAGATGTACATATTTTTACAAGACGTCACATGCACTTATTACAGAACAAGAAAAATATCAACATTTTTGGAATTGTTCAAATGGTTTCAAACTACTTACCCGAGAGGTCTGTTTCACAAAAACAAAACATTAACCCAGAGTTTCGTGTAGGCTTTTTAACCAATATTTTTAGTCTATTTTTAGCCTAGGTTATTTAAATCATCAGTATCCCCAATTAATTAAAAAGTTTTGCCTGTTTTATAATAACAAAGATATGAGTTATATTTAAAACCAATACTTCATTTATCCAAGTGGAGTACAATGGATTAATCCTGAACTGAGGTAGACCAAATTTTTAGTCACAAAGTGTAGACCAATTTTCAGGCAACAGGTCTTATGTGAAACTAGGCCCTTTATTTTGAGGTCTTACAACATAATAGATGAACACTCATCCATACAGTGTGATGTCCAAAAGCGGGAAATATTATGACATTGAATAGACGTCACTCAGACCTCTGTTTGACCATGAGAATTTTGATTGTTATTTACTGTGCACATTAATTAAATTTTGACCCTTTTGTTTGAATGAGGAAGTTTAAAAAGGTGAAGACATACAAATCCTTAGAATAAAATTTCATTATTTATGTCTACTCATGTAACAAATCAGAGATTGATATATTCTTCTTAAGATTTTATGCTCAAATGAACCATCATGGTTTTCAGTTTAAAATTAAACTTGATGTTTCCAATCAGTACTTAAAATTCCCTGTATTTTATTTCTTAGGAATACAAGTTCTGCTTTTTATCAAAAGCTTCAATCCATTTACAAGTCAAGTGATGCAGTTAACATAGTTGCTGTGTGGCCTTCTTACCCGATTTACCACAAGTACGGTCCCAGGGAATACAGTAATAGGTACGTATAAGTACTTTAGCTTGTTCAATATGTGTGCAGTTCATTTGTGTTGCATTTCTGTACCGAGTGACACACATTTTTTAAAGTAATACACAAGTGTAACATATTTGAGAACACATTTTCTGGCATAGCTCATTTGTTTCCATTAAGTATGTAGCTCCCAGCATCTGCGATTATAATTCCAATGTCTTATTGTATTTTTTCATGTTGTTGTAATTTACACAGTTTCAGCAGTAAAACAGAACGTGCCCCTAATCTTAAAGATAAAAAAATAATTAAACAAGTAAAATCAAACATGCACACATCCAAACCACAATTTTCAGACTTGAAAGCATATAAGCAATGGGTAATGCTAGCTCGTAGAAGAGGATTTCCTTAATTTTTTATTAAAATATTTGTTTACAAGATTTGGGGATATACCTTTTATAGATACACAGGCAGACTACTATTTTTAGGTTATCTTAGTCTCAAGAGCATAGTGTTGCAGTATTGTTACTGACCCTGTCATACTGAAGGACTTATAATACGAGCAGTCTATATAAATACGATGTCATTATTGTTATATCTATCAGATTAAAGAAATCAATGAATAATTTACATTGTTTCTACATTTCCATTCAGCAGCAGACAATGTCTTTAGATGTGAAAGCAATAGTGCGGTTTTAGAACCACCTCGTCCACGTCCACCATGTCCAAATGGAACCTTCTTTCTTTTTTCCATTTTTAATGCAGGGGGAGGGGGTCTGAATGCTCTTTAAAATCTGTAAGAAAACCCCTCATATTGTGAGACAGTCAGAGTCATTGACTTAAAAACAACTCATTGTTTAGCAGTGTGGACCCAAAATGACCTCCAAATTTAAAATCCTGTTGAAATCTTGTACCTTTTTATGCATTAACATAATCCTTCATAAGATGACTTCATTGTCCATTCTATTACTTCAGTGTATGAGGTATCACAATTATTTTGCTAAAGCCCCCTTTGCACTGGACGGCGTCCTTTCTGTGCCCCTTCTACAATCCAAATGTGGTAAAAGCAGTTAAATCATGTCTCAGTGTAAATGTTGCTGTGTCCCTTGTGTGTCCTTTGAATGTCGGAATCTAGATTTTACCTGTAAAACTGCGAGCGACTGTGGGTCCTCTGAGCGACCTGCTTGCCTCCCAT